TGCTGGGGCGGGGCTGGAACCTCCCCCAGACACATTGTTGGGAAAGAAAAGGAGTTCAGGAGTTGACAGGGTGGCCTTTCAAGGAGGGTGGAGGGTGGTGGTTCTGAGCAGGAGACCCTCAGCAGCTGTAGCTCCTGGGAGGGATGTTCTCCATCCCCTTTCTCCTGAGCAGTGGGGTGCAGAGACAGGCTGGGTGTGAGTCCATGGGTGCAGTGGGGCTGCTTGTCCCTCCTTCCCTCCCTTTTTTAGACATGAAGGAGAAATTCTTCACTCCTGAGCAGTGGGGTGCAGAGACAGGCTGGCAGTGAGTCCAGTGGGGCTGCTTGTCCCTCCTTCCCTCCCGTTTTTAGACATGAAGGAGAAATTCTTCACGCTGAGGGTGGTGAGAGCCTGGCCCCGGTTGCCCAGGGAAGCTGTGGCTGCCCCATCCCTGGCAGTGTTGAAGGGCAGGCTGGATGGGGCTTGGAGCAGCCTGGGCTGGTGGGAACGAGCTCCAAGGTCTGTAGCCTCTCTTCCCACCTTCCCACGTGCCTCTCTCCTCCACAGGCCTGGTGGGATCACCCCCTGTGGACACTCGCTGGACCTGCCTGGTGCTCGACCTCCCCTCCATCCTCTCCCTCTACCTGGGCCGCTGCTACAGCCACCTGAAGGGTATCAAGCTCTGCTCCAGCCTCCTGGTGAAGAACCTCTTCACCAGTGACCTGCTCTTCCACCCAGGTGAGGAGCTGAAACCTTGGGGTGTCTTCTGCTTCCTCCTGAGACATTTCAACCCAGTCTGGATGGAACCAGAGGGGGCTGAAAGCTGCTCTTGCTTTGGTCCTGGCAGAGCTTTGGCTGCTGTTCCTGCAGTAGCACAATAAGAAGCAGAGAGGGTCAAATACTTGGTGTGACACCAAGATTCCACGTGTTCTGGTGACCACAACCTCCTAACACCTGGAGGAAAATGTCCTCTCATTTTCCAGCTCTAAAAGTGAACTATGAGAGCAAAATTAAATCTCTTACCAAGCTAGGAATTACTTTTCCAAGGGGGGAGAAAATTAAAGGCCTTTCCAAGGGGCAGTTCTCCAGGGCACTTCTCCACTTCTCCAGGGTTCTTCTTCCAGAAGAACCTTTGGCTTTTGTTTGTTTGTTTGTTTAGAAAATGTCTTCCAACCTACATTTCTTTTATCTACCTGCTCAGTGTGGCTGAGAGACCTTGGTCACAGCCTTTGGTTCTGCTGCTTTTTGTCTGGAACTCTGCCCAGACCAACTGGCTGGCTGAAAAACCTGAGTGAGGAGGAAGATATTGATGTTGCTTCTGGGTTCCTGAAGCTTGTTGTATCTCAGAGACTTTTATGAAGTTAGAAATGTGTGAATCATGGAGTCATGGAATGGTTTGGGTTGGATGGACCTTCAAGATCATCCAGCTCCACCCCCCTGCATGGGCAGGGACACCTCCCACCAGCCCAGGCTGCTCCAAGCCCCATCCAACCTGCCCTTCAACACTGCCAGGGATGGGGCAGCCACAGCTTCCCTGGGCAACCTGGGCCAGGCTCTCACCACCCTCACACCAAAGAATTCCCTCCTCATGTCCAACCTCAATCTCCCCTCTGCCAGTTTTCATCCATCCCCCTTGTCCTCTCCCTCCCTGCCCTTGTCCCAAGTCCCTCCCCAGCTTTCCTGGAGCCCCTTCAGGCCCTGGAAGGTGCTCTGAGGTCTCCCTGGAGCCTTCTCTTCTCCAGGCTGAACACCCCAACTCTCCCAGCCTGGCTCCAGAGCAGAGCTGCTCCAGCCCTGGGATCATCTTTGTGGCCTCCTCTGGACTCTCTCCAACAGCTCCGTGTCCTTAAGTTGGGGACTCCAGAACTGGACACAGTTCCAGGTGGGGTCTCCCCAGAGCAGAGCAGAGGGGACAATCCCCTCCCTGGCCCTGCTGCCCACGCTGCTGGTGACACAGCCCAGGACAGGGTTGGTTTCTGGGCTCCAGCTCATGTTGAGCTTCTCATCCACCATCACCCCCAGGTCCTTCTCCTCAGGGCTGCTCTCAATCCAGTCTCCCCAGCCTGTATTTGTGCTTGGCAAAAAGGTGAAGGAGAGAAGCAGGAACAAACCCTTGCTAGAAACCACGTGGAGCTTCTGGATCACTGTCTAGAGAACTAAGTGAATCTTGGGCCTGGGGGGTTTCTAACTTGACACCAGGAGTTGGTGCTCTGGGATCTTTTGTGGAGGTTGAGACTTTCAGGAATGTTCTTGTGCAAAGGTGTGTTTGTCCCAGACCTGGGGGTCGTCATCTTGTTTTTCAGGTGTTCTCCAAGAGGGCAGTGGTTTGTGCCTGCAGGAACCCCACGATTCCAGGTCTTGGAGAACTCATGCTCTTTGTCTCTGTGCCACCAGGTGTGACCTTCTCAGAGGCCAGGGAGGGTGACCTGGCCTGCCATGGGCTGGCTCCCATGCCACGGGAAATGGCTTTCCCTGTGCCTAAGGGACAGAAGTGGCACGACCTCTATGACTACATCAGGTACGAACACCTGGTTGGGGGCAGGTGGACCCTCCCCCCGTGGCTGAGGGGCTCTGCTGGTGATGAGCTGCAGCTCCTCAGGGGCAGTGCCTGGGGTGAGCAGCACCCAGCTGGAACCAGGGAATCATTAAGGTTGGAAAAGGTTATCAAGTCCAACCACTAACCCAACACCACCCTGCCCACTCAGCCATGTCCCAACGTGCCACCTCTACATGTTTTTTTAAGACTTCCAGGGTTGGTGACTCCACTAGAGCTTCAGGGAAGAAGTTTCTCCCAAGATCCAATCTCAACCTCCCCTGGTGCAACTTGAGGCCGGTTCCTCTTGTCCCATCCCTTGTTCCTGGGGAGCAGAGCCCAACCCCCCTGGCTCCAACCTCCTCTCAGCAGCTGCAGAGCCAGCAGGTCTCCCCTCAGCTCCTTGTCTCCAGGCTGGACACCCCCAGCTCCCTCAGCTGCTCCTGCTCACACTTGTGCTCCAGCCCCTTCCCCAGCTCCCTTGCCCTTCCCTGGACATGCTCCAGCCCCTCCATGTCCTTCTTGTCCTGAGGGGCCCAGAACTGACCCCAGGATTGGAGGTGCCCCCTCCCCAGTGCACAGGGGGACAGTCCCTGCCCTGCTCCTTCTGGCCACCCCAGTGCTGACACAAGCCAGGATGCTGGTGGCCTCCTTGGCCACCTGGGCACACACACTGGCTCACATTCAGGTCTGTCAAGCAACACCCCCAGGTTCTCCACAGGCACTTCCCAGCCCCAAGCCTGGAGCTTTTGTGCCCCAAGTGCAGGACCCACCACTGAGCCTGGTTGAACCTCCTGCAATGGACCTTGGCCCATCAGTCCTGCTATAATCCCTGGCAAGTGGTGGTGTTGGTCAGACCTGGGAGAGGCTTTAGTGTCCATGGACTGGGGAGAAGAGTGGAGAAATGGAGGAGTCTTACAGGAACCAGTGAGGAGGCCTCTGTGTCTGGCAATGCGTTGTCCTGGCAGATCCCTGGGTGCTGGAGCAGCATCCAAGTGACGTGGCACCTTCCTCTGGTTCTCCTCAGGTTCCCATCCAAGGGATCCAAGCTGCCATACGACTCTATCCAGAAGAGCTGTCCAGGTGGGAACTCTAGGGAGAGCAGCCCAGGCCCCCATGGGATGCCTTGGCTTTCCAAAAGATCCCAACACTCTCCTTGTGTCTCCCAGGTGGCCAAGTCCTGGAGGAGCCTGGTCACCAGCTGCCCCAGCTCACCAAAGCAGTCCGTGACCGACTGTCCCTGGTCCAGCAGATAACCAGTCCCAAAGCTGTAAGTGCTCCATGGAAGAGCCTGGAACATCTTCCCTTCTTCTCCCTGTGGAATTTTTCCCCACATCTTGTCTTGGGATTCCTTCATTTAGGGATGTAGAAGCTGAGCTGGACAGGTCAGAGCCCTGAGCTGGGCATGGGCTGTGACCACAGCCCCATGTTCATGACAAGGTGGTCCAGTCTGGCCTGACATGGAGCAGGGACAAGAGGAATTCCAGGTGCCTCATGGCTCTAGACATCTGTCCTCCCCATCTCAGCTGAGGCAGCAACCAAGTTCTGTCTTCAGATGGTGGCTGGGAAATGAGGACTGAGAAATGCAGACCTGAGGAGATGTCCCTGGGGTCTGGGCTGTGGGCACATGTCCTCAGTGCTACCTTCCCTGCCCGTGGGGCTGGTGCCCTCAGCTGGTGCTCAGAGGGCTGGTGGGCTTTTGGAGAGGGCCTGGGGGGCAGCCATCCTTGGGCTGTGGAGAAGGGAGAAGGATCATGATCACTGTGCTGGTCCCACTTGGCCAGCCAGGAACCTCTAGGCAGCATTTCCAGAGACAGGGACAGGGCTGGATGTTTCCTGGGGCTCTGGTTTGCACTGGGAGGGGGGACTGGTGAACACCCATGGCCAGGGTAGGTCCTCACAAGGTGCTCTGCCCCCAGGTTGCTCCCTTGGGGTTTGTATCATGGTGAGGAGAGCTCAGGAAGGACCTTCTGGTGGGTAGAGAACTGACCTCGGGGGGCTTTGCTCTTCCTCAGAAGCCACGTCGGCGCCCTGGCCTTCCAAGAAGGATCCCAGAGGTTCAGCTGGCAGCCCCAGGGTCACCCAGAGCCCTGTCTGCTGGGCACCAGGAGCCAGAGGAGAAGCAGAGACCCCGGAGTGCAGGGGAGCTGGGGCAGCCCCGGGCTGTGGGGGATGGGGGCACCCACGTGTACGCCCAGCGGAGGAGCCGACGGGGCGTCCGAGCCCCCCCCAGGGACCCAGAGGAGGTGGGTGCAGGGCTGAGGAGCCCCCAGGGGGGCTTTGGGACACCCACAGCTGGTGCTTGGGAGCCTGGAGGAGGAACACAAGTTGAGGCTGCAGTGAGTCCTGGGGAGTCCTTCTGCTAGCATTGGTCTTTGGTAGGGTCCCAGACTGGTTTGGGTTGGAAGGGACCTTCAAGACCATCCAGATCCAACCCCCTGCATGGGCAGGGACACCTCCCACCAGCCCAGGCTGCTCCAAGCCCCATCCAACCTGCCCTTCAACACTGCCAGGGATGGGGCAGCCACAGCTTCCCTGGGCAACCTGGGCCAGGCTCTCACCACCCTCACACCAAAGAATTCCCTCCTCATGTCCAACCTCAATCTCCCCTCTGCCACTTTTAATCCATCCCCCTCATCCCACCCCTCCCTGCCCTTGTCCCAAGCCCCTCCCCAGCTTTCCTGGAGCCCCTTCAGGCCCTGGAAGGTGCTCTAAGGTCTCCCTGGAGCCTTCTCTTCTCCAGGCTGAACACCCCAACTCTCCCAGCCTGGCTCCAGAGTAGAGCTGCTCCAGCCCTCCCATCATCTCTGTGGCCTCCTCTGGACTCACTGTAGAAGCTCCACGTTCTTGTGTTGGGAACCCCAGAACCAGACTCAGTTTTTCTGCCATTCCCCTTCCCACCAGTACCACCCTCCCTCCAGGAGGGACCCAGTGCTCCAATGCTGTCACCTTAAGCCAATAATTCAGGAAGGACACCAGTGTGTCCAGGAGTGTCCAGGAGTGACCAGGTGTAACCCTGCAGCAGATGTGCCATCCTGGATTTGATGATCTTAAAGGTCTTTTCCAACCAGGACAATTCTGGATGGAGAAGCTCAGTCCAGCTCTAGGTGCAATGTTCCCATTTGTTGGTGGTTTTCTTTTCCCAGGGGCTCTTACCAGATCCCATCCTGAAGCTGAAGATGATTATTGGCTTTGGAGGCTCCAGCACCAAATGGGTCAGTATCTCAGAGGGTTTCAGGAGTTCATCTGTGATGACAGAGTGGTTTTTTGGAAGGCATGAGAGGCAGCTGAGTGCCCCCCACCTGCAGGTCCTCGTGGGGAAGTGGCCCCAGAGCAGATGGGCATGAGCTGATCTTTGTCTTCTGCTGCTGTCATGGTGGGTCAGAAATCTTGGGGGTCCTCTTAGATCTTGTGGCTTCTGCATTTTAAGGTCAGAGCCACTTTGTCAGAGTCTGGAAAGGAAGGGCTGTTCTGGATGGTCTCCCTGGGACACTGTGTCCTGCAGGACCTCAGCCTGTGCTCTGTGTTAGGGGACGGAAAGAGGTCCAAGGTTCCAACAACTTGGGTTTCCTCACAGCTGCTGTTCCTAGAGTCATGGAATGGGTTGGGTTGGAAGGGACCTCAAAGATCATCTAGATCCAACCTCCCAGTAGAGCAGGTCCTTGTTCATGTGGTGGAGGTGCCTGGTGCTGCACATCCCTGCATGGAGGAGGGTGTTGCCTGGACTCTTGGCTTTCCTTTGGGAGGCAGAGGAGTAGTTGTATGGAAGAGCTTCATCCCACCTGCACGTAGGTAGCAGGTCTCTTGAGGAAACCCCTGCAGGTCCAGCCTTGGGTCTGGGCAGCCCTGGAGGACCTGCAGGCCTCTCATTTCTCTCTGGGTCCCACAGGCCCTGTGGACTGCAGACAATGACACTGTTGTCTATCCCTGCCACGCTGTCATAGTGACCCTGCAGATCCAGACTGGGAAGCAGAGGTTCTTCATGGGCCACACGGAGAAGGTGAGAGTGTCTCCTCACACAGCCATGGAGCCAGGTTCTCCTTCTTCCCTGGGCCCAGCTCTGGGAATCCCTGAATGGTTCTGGTTGGAAAAGACATCCAGTCCAACCATTAACCCAACTCTACCAACCACCAACCCAACTCCACCAACCATTAACCCAACTCCACCAACCATCAACCCAACTCTACCAACCACCAACCCAACTCTACCAACCACCACCCCACCTCTCCCACCCACCAACCCAACTCTACCAACCATCAACCTAACTCCACCAACCATTAACCCAACTCTACCAACCATCAACCCAACTCTACCAACCACCAATCCAAATCTACCAACCATTAACCCAACTCCACCAACCATCAACCCAACTCTACCAACTACCAACCCAACTCTACCAACCACCAACCCAACTACCCAGCCCAGTTCTGACCCACATCCCTCAGCACCACATCTGCAGGGCTTGGAAACCCCTCCAGGGATGGGATTGAACCCCCTCCCTGGGCAGCCTGGGCCAGGGGTTGATGACCCTGACTTAATGAAGAAGTTCCTCCTGGTGTCTGATGGCTGGTGCTCCCTGCAGGTGTCAGCACTGGCCTTCAGCAGCAGCAGCTCCCTGCTGGCCTCTGCCCAGGCTGGGCCCCTCAGCGTGGGGCGGCTCTGGGACTTCCCCACAGGCACCTGCCTCTCGGTGTTCAGGACCCACGTCTGCTCCCTCCTGTCCCTCAGGTGGGTCTCCCTGGGCACGGGGGTGGGCTCGGGTGGGTCACGTCCTGCAGCAAAGGTGGGAGAAACCTGGGGGGAGCTGCAGCTCCCACAGAGAGCTGGGGTTGGAAGGGAGCTCTGGAGATCCCCCAGCCCAACCCCTGCCAGAGCAGGGTCACCTCCAGCAGATCCCACAGGAACATGTCCAGCTGGGTTTGGAATGTCTGCGGGAAAGGAGCCTCCCCAGCCTCCCTGGGCAGCCTGTCCCAGGGCTCTGCCACCCTCACAGGAAAGAAGTTGTTCCTCATGTTCACCTTGACCCTCCTGTGCTCCAGCCTGTGCCCATTGCCCCTTGTCCTGTCACTGGACACCCTGGGAAGAGTCTGGTCCCCCCTCCTGCCACCCCCTGGAGATATTGACCAGCACTGATCAGATCCCCCCTCAGCCTCCTCCTCTCCAGCTGAGCAGCCCCAGCTCTCCCAGCCTTTCCTCACAGGCAGATGCTCCAGCCCCTCAGCATCTCTGTGGCCCTGGGCTGGGCTCTCTCCAGTAGCTCCTTGTCCTTCCTGAACTGGGAGCCCAGAGCTGCACATGGTGCTCCAGATGGGGCCTCAGGGGGGCAGGAGAACCTCCCTTGACCTACTGGGCACCCTCTTCATGCCCCCAGGGTGGCCCTCTTGGCCACAAGGACACACTGCTGCCTCATGGTCAGCCTGTTGTCCCCCAGAACCCCAAGATCCTTCTCCCCAGAGCTGCTCTCCAGCAGCTGCCCGTGTTTATCACCTATATGGTCCAGCTCCTTCCTGAGCCCATCCCTCAGCTCTTGTTGTCTCTCGTGCCCTGAATTTGTCTCCTTTTCTTCCCCTCTGAGGTGCAGCTGGGGTGGAAGGGGCTGCTTTTCACCAGGTGGCCTTTTCTTGCAGCTTTTCCTACAGTGGCTCCATCCTGTGTGGGGTGGGGAAGGACGGACACGGCAAAACGGTGAGAGCTGGAACCTGGCCCTGGGGTTGTCCCTGCCCTGAGAACAAGTCCCCTGAGGTTGTTTCTTCTTCCAGATGGCAGTGATTTTGTACAGAAACCCCTGCTCTGGGCTTTCTGAGACATAGAATTAACCATAGAGTCATAGAATGGTTTGGGTGGGAAGGGACCTTAAAGATCATCTAGATCTAACCCCCCTGCATGGGCAGGGACACCTCCCACCAGCCCAGGCTGCTCCAAGCCCCATCCAACCTGCCCTTCAACACCCCCAGGGATGGGGCAGCCACAGCTTCCCTGGGCAACCTGGCTCAGGCTCTCACCACCCTCACAGCAAAGAATTTCCTCCTCATGTCCAACCTCAATCTCCCCTCTGCCAGTTTTCATCCATTCCCCCTTGTCCTCTCCTTCCCTGCCCTTGTCCCAAGTCCCTCCCCAGCTTTCCTGGAGCCCCTTCAGGCACTGGAAGGTGCTCTGAGGTCTCCCTGGAGCCTTCTCTTCTCCAGCCTGAATATGTCCTTCACCTTTCCATTAGCTGCTTTAGAAAACACTTCCCTCCTGCTCCATCCTTGGCTGCCATCAAACCAATCCTGTTGGGACCAGCCTGAGAGACCTGCTGGCCTTGAAATTTGGAGCCAGATTTGGGACAGAAATTTGGGACAGAAAGTCCCTGGGCTGGTCCCTGCTGGGGTGCTGTGTGATTCTTCCTGCAGGGCTCACCCCAGGCTCAGCACTTCCCACCCACCCCCACATCCATCCTGTCCCACCAGGCTGAGGGTGACATGTGCTTGTGGGATATTTTGAGCTTGGGAAGGTTTGCAAGCACCTACTGGAGGGCTGGGAATTGAAACAGGAGCTTCAGCACTGGCTGGAGCCTAAAAACCTTCTCATTTTGTTTTTTTTATAGCATTTAGGGCAAGATGAGAGGTTGAATTTCTCAGCTCTGAGCAACCCTGGTTGCTGAGGAGGTGCCCACCCACTCCTGTAGTTCAGGGATGACCCAGATCCCATGTGGAGCATCAAAAAGAAACCTGTTCCATGGGATTGGGGAGGTTTTTTTGGTGGTTGGTTTGGGTTGTCAGGGACTCACCCCTTCCTGACAACCACCAGCAATGAGCTGGGCCTGCAGGGAACAACCAAACCCATCCTTCTGGATTTGGGTGGATGATCCAGGTGGGGGGATCAGCTGGGGGCAAGCAGGGTGAGGGAGGAGGTGGGTGCTGCCCAGGAGCTCCTCTCCCAGGGTGGTGCCCCAGCCTGGGCTCTGGTATTCACATTGTTCTGAAGCACAAGGTGGCAAATCAGCTGCATTTCTTCAGCCCTTCCCTTTGAGGTTGAGCCTCTTGTTCCTCAAGGTGGGCACCAAGAGGACACAAACCTTCACCTCCTGCCCACGGGCTCAGCTGATGGATCTCAGCAAACATGAAGCCCCACTCCTCTCTGACTTCCCAAGTCTGAGCCCTGTTGCCAGGCAGCCCTGGGATTTTCAGCCTATAATTCTGGATGCCAGACAAGAATATTCCCAGGAAGCTTTGCAGAGCTCTTGGGACTCTCCTAAACCCTCTTTTCTGAGAGGGTTTTATTCCCACTTCTTCAACATTGTCACCGAGACCTTGTTCCAGCTCTGGAGCAGGTTCCCAGTGGGATGAGAAGCTCTTGTCCTGCCAAGGTTTCCATGGCTGAGCAGCTTTGCCATCCCATTTTCTCCCTTCAGGTGGTGGTGGTGTGGAATGTTGCTCAGGTGACCCGTGGTGGAGAGGTGGTCGTGCTGGCCAAAACACACACTGATGTGGACATCCAGGCCTTGAAAATTGCTTTTTTTGATGATACCAGGTAACGTGGAAGGAAAATGCATCCAAAGCATCAGGTCTGGCCTGGCTGGGGGGGGGATTGTGGTGCCTCAGGTGTCCTGTGGCCACTCCTGTTCTTGGGCTGGTGGCCCTTGGGGCACTGACCTGTCACCAGGGGCTTGGAATCAGAGCCAGGGGATGTTCTGGTTGGAAAAGACCTGTAAGATCATCAAATCCAACCATCAACCCAACTGCCCAGCCCAGTGCTGCCCCATGTCCCTCAGCACCACATCTGCAGGGCTTGGAAGCCCCTCCAGGGATGGGGATTGAACCCCCTCCCTGGGCAGCCTGGGTCAGGGGTTAATGACCCTTCAGGGAAGAAGTTTCTCCCAAGATCCCATCTCAGCCTCCCCTGGTGCAACTTGAGGCCGGTTCCTCTTGTCCCATCCCTTGTTCCTGGGGAGCAGAGCCCAACCCCCCTGGTCCAACCTCCTCTCAGCAGCTGCAGAGCCAGCAGGTCTCCCCTCAGCTCCTTGTCTCCAGGCTGGACACCCCCAGCTCCCTCAGCTGCTCCTGCTCACACTTGTGCTCCAGCCCCTTCCCCAGCTCCCTTGCCCTTCCCTGGACACGCTCCAGCCCCTCCATGTCCTTCTTGTCCTGAGGGGCCCAGAACTGACCCCAGGATT